CTTCATATATATATATATATATATATAAAAGAACTTTGCATATACCATTACTAGGGGTCGGCAATGGCACGTGTACCAACATTGGCAAGCAGAGGTACAATAATTAAAAATGGCCAAACTGTCCCCCCTAATACTTGAAATTCTTGCACTGATCTGCTGCACTCCCTTATGCTTGTTGTTAGGATGACAAAAAGCTTTAAAAGTTACATTATCAGCCTGGTCTGCCACAGCGGTCATTAATGTCAAAATAATTGAGCTGGCCAATCAAATCAAAGTAGATGGGTTTACTGTTCACAGAAGCAGAGGGCGAATTCCAGCGGGAAAAGAGATGGAAATTTGACGGAAAAAAACTGTTAAATGACCGACAGCTATATATCCAGTGATGCAGACAACTTTTTTTTCCTCAAATATGGCCGTTCTGAGAGAGAAAGAGAGAGATAAAAGTTGCGTGTTTGAATGAAGTTACCTGCATCTGTCTCTCTCTACAAACATTGAAACTGAGTTTAGTTAGTTCAAAAACTTGAATTTTGTGACTCTCTCCATTTAATAATACCGTTTAATGCCTCGATGAACCACGAGACAAACTTGTCTTGGCTCAGATGGAAGTGAACTGAGTGAGCGACTTAATATAGGAACATACATTGAGTTAAGAAAAAAATGAATAACCATAACATAACATAAATCACAAAGATTGCTAACAAAATGATAACATACCTGCATAAATGGGAAATATGTTGAAAAACATGAATTTTGGGACTCTCTCCATTTAATAATACCTGTTGGCAAATGGAAAGTAATAAAGCATGCTAATATGCACTAATCTCACTCACAATCACAATCATTCGCAAATACATTTTCATAATCCCACATCGCAAAGTACGTTTAACAGCAAGAAACCGCTTCAATTCAAAATATGTCATCAAATGTCAGTAATATTACCGTTTAATGCCTCTACAGTATGAACCATGAAACAAACTTCTCTTGGCTCAGAAGGAAGTGAACTGAGAACAAGGATATTGTCAGACTCTGTTCCATGTTTTGTGTGTGTCCTGCTCCCCATGTGCCTTCCCATGCCCTTATTTGGTTAG